ATTGGGAGAATTAATGTTGTTGAAATGCTTATGCTACTCAAAGCAATATACTGTCAATGTAATCTTTATCAAAATACCAATGACGTTCTTCACAGAAATAGAAAAAAAAATCCTAAGATTAGTATGAAACCACAAAATGCCTTGAATAGCCAAAGTAATGCTAAGAAAAAAAAAAAAAATCGCACCTAACTGGCTCCACCTTGCTTCTAACCTTTAAGCTGTCCTTGTTCATTCCTGGACATAGGCCAAACTAACCGTGGGAAGGAATTCAGTTTATGGTTTGACTCCGAAACAAAATTGATAATAGCCTTTTTCTGAAAAGACTTTCTTCTTGCCCAGGAACCAGTTTGCTTTTGTAGGACTAACAAATTAGCTACAAGATTAGAAATTATGGTTACGGGTCATACAGACTCCAGCTGCAAGAGTCTGATCCTCCCCAAATTGCTCCTGGGGATAACACTGCTATTGTAAAATCCAAGGTCAGTGCTTGAGATATTTTGCAGACCCTGCACTCAATGTATTAGCTGACACCACCGAAGCCGGTAATCTGGCTCAACCAGTTCTGTGATCCCACCCAGGAACATAAGTTGGCAAGAACTCACTTAGTCCCCCTGTGATTTCATTTCCAACCCAACCAACCAACACTCCCTATTTCCGGGGCCCCCACCTGCCAAATCATCTTTAAAACCTCTGATCCCTGAGTTTTCGGGGAGACAGATTTGACTAATAATAAAAGTCCAGTGTCCTGCACAGCCGACTCTGTGTGAATTACTTTCTCCACTGCAATTCCTCTGCCTTGATACATCAGCTCTGTCTAGGCAAAGTGAACCCATTGGGCAGTTACAAAACTATAACACTACTAGAAGAAAACATTGGGGAGATGTTTCAGGACATCGGTCTGGGCAACGACCTCTTGAGTAAGACCGCAAAAGCACAGGCAACAAGAACAAAAGTAGACAAATGGGATTACACTAAACTAAAAAGCTTCTGTGTAGAAGAAAACATTGGGGAGATGCTTCAGGACTTTGGTCTAGGCAATGACCTTTTGAGTAAGACCTCAAAAGCACAGGCGACAAGAACAAAAATCAACAAATGGGATTACATCAAGCTAAAAAGCTTGTGTATAGCAAAGGCAACAATAAACAAAGTGAACAGACAACCTAGAGGATAGGAGAAAAATTGGCAAACTATCTGACAAGGGATTAATAACCAGAATATATAAGGAACCCAAACAACTCAATAACAACAACAACAACAAAAACTGATTTAAAAATAGCAAAAGATCTGAATACGTATTTCTCAAAGAGGATATACAAAAGACCAACAGGTATATAAAAAAAAGATCTCTAATCATCAGGGAAATACAACTCAAAACCACAATGAGGTATCATCTCACCTCAGTTAAAATGACTATTATTTAAAAGACAAAAAATAACAAATGCTGGCAAGGATATGGAGAAAGTGGAATACTAGTACACTATTGGTGGTAATGTAAATTAGCACAACTGCTATGGAGAAAAGTATGGAAATTTCCCCAAAAAACGAAAAACAGAATTACCATATGATCCAGCAATCCCACTGCTTGGTATACGTCCAAAAGAAAGCTAATCAGTCTGACAGAGATATCTGCACTCCATGTTTATTACAGCATTATTCACAATAGCCAAGATATGGAATCAAACTAAGTTTCTACCAATGGATGAATGGATGTTAAAAAAACCTGTACATATACTCAATGGAATATTATTCAGCCATTAAAAAAGGATGAAATCCTGTCACTTGCAGTAACATGGATGAAATTGGAGGACACTGTTAAGTGAAATAAGCCAGGCGCAGACAGACAGATATCGCACATTCTCACTTCTATGTGTGAACCAAAAAAAAAAAAAATGACCTCATGGAGGTAGTAATAAATTGATGGTTACCAGGGGCTGGGAAGGGTAGTGAGGAGGTGGGGTATGAAGACAGATTGGTTAGAAATACAGTTAAAAAGGGTAATGCAGTTAGAGAAGAGAAATACAGCTAGAAAGAGTAAGTTCTAGTGTTTGATTTCACAATTGGGTGACTATAGTTAGTAATAATTTATTTATATTTCAAAATAGCTAGAAGTGAAGATTTAGAATGCTCCCAAAACAAATAAGTAACGTGATGGATATGTCAACTATTCACATTTGGCCATTACATATTGTATGCTTGCATCAAAATATCATGTGTACCCCATAAATATGCACAATTATTATGTATCCATAAACATTAAAAAAAAATTACAAATAAACATCACCTCATACCCATTAGGATGGTCATTACCAAAAAGACAAGTGTGGTAAGGACATGGAAAAAAAGGCACCCTTATATACTGCTGATGGGAATGAAAATTGGCAGAACCATTATAAAAAACTGAATTGAGGTTCCTCAAAAAGTTATAAACAGAACTATCCTAACTATCCTAAGATCTAGCGATCTTACCACTGGGTATATATCCAAAGGAAATGAAAGCAGCACCTCAAAGAGATATCTGCACTCTCATCTTCATTGCAGCATGTGTGTATATATGTATATGTATATATGTATACACACACACACACACAATATTTAAGGCTGAATAAAATGCCATTGTGTGTATATATGTATATGTGTCTATGAATATATGTATATATTATGTGTGTGCATACATACACACACATAAAATGGCATTTTATTCAGCCTTAAAAAAGGATATATGTAACACATGGATAAACCTAGAAAATATTATGCTACGAGAAATAAGCCAGACAGAAAAATACCACATGATCTCGTTTATATGTAGTATCTAAAAAAGTCAAATTAGGCCGGGCGTGGTGGCTCATGCCTGTAATCCCAGCAAGCACTTTGGGAGGCTGAGGTAGGTGGATCATGAGGTCAAGAGATCGAGACCATCCTGGCCAACATGGAGAAACCGTCTCTACTAAAAATACAAAAATTAGCTGGGTGTGGTGGCGGGCGCCTATAGTCCCCGCTACACGGGAGGCTAAGGCAGGAGAATCGTTTGAACCTGGGAGGCAGAAGTTGCAGTGAGCTCAGATGGCACCACTGCAGTCCAGCCTGGAGACAGAGCAAGACTCCATCTCCAAAACAAAAAAAAAAGTCAAATTCACAGAAACAGAGAGTAGGATGATGGTTCACAGGAGTGGTGGAAATGGAGAGATGTTGGACAAAGATAAAATTTAAATTATGTAGAATGAGTAAGTTCCAGAGATCTAACGTACACCATGGTGATGACCATTAATAATACTGTACTGTATACTTGAAATCTTCTGGGAGAAAACTCTTTAAAGTGTTTTCACCACACACACAGAAATTCTAACTGGCCAGGCATGGTGGTTCACCCCTGTAATCCCAGCAATTTGGGAGGCTGAGGCGGGAAGATTAAGCCCAGGAGTTCAAGACCAGCCTGGGCAACACAGTGAGAACTCCTTTCTCTAAAACAAAACAAAACAAAAAAGTATGTAAAGAGATGAATATGATAATTAGCTTGACTAATAATCAACATCAAGTTGTATACCTTAAATATATAAATTTTTTAAAATAGTAAAGAAAATATAATCATCATTCTCAGTAATCTCTTATTTCCTCTAGTTTTCTTCATAATTTACCACTTCCTGAAATTACATTACACATTTGTTCACTTCTTCCTCCATTAGAACATTGGCCCAAAGAGAACAAAAATTTGGTCTGTTTTAGTAACCACTGTATTCTTGTAACACTTAAGATATAGCCTGGCTATAGTAAACAATCTAAAAAATATTTGTTGAGTGAATGAATAAAACAAACTTGGAAGATATTTTAGAGATAATAACAAATATTAACCAAAGAAGAGGGAAAGCTAATATATGAACTGATGAAAAAAATATTTCCTAATTGTAGTAGTTTTTGTTTGAAACCTAAGGGGGCATACATTGTTCCTTAGGGTCAATACCGTACGTTTTGATTTCCTAAACACTATCTAAGTCAAATTAGATTTACCTTCAAACAATTACACATGGTGCAGCCGTGCAGCGGAAAAAGCAGTAGATGGGGAGTTAGGAGACCTATGTTCTACATCCAGCTTTGCAATTAACTTGCTTTGTGACTTTGGGAAAATCACTTCCCTCCTGTGGGCCTGTTTCCTCATATGTTGGAGTACCTCGAGGATGAGAAGGGATTTTGTTTTTCCTGCTGTATCCTAGGCGCTTAGAGTAATGCTGGTCCTGAGAAATCTGTTGAATTACTGAATGAATGAACAAACAAAATGAGGAGGCGGTACTTCATTACTGAACCTTGCTTCTGAAGAGAAACAGCCGGCAAATGAGTTTAGTTTACTAAGCGCTTTCATGTGCTTTCAGGCAACACACTCAGTGTCTCGCACACGAGGTTAATTCTATTTGCTCAATAAATGAATGAGTGAAGTGAAAGGGAAAAGGGGTGGTATTTCCGTTATAAGATGAGAAAACTAAGGCCCAGAGGGGAAGAGACTGGGTCCCACCACTCAATGAGTGCTTCTCAACTCGGGACCCTAACCGTACCTCCTTGTTCTTGCTCTGATCAGGCGCGGGACCACGATAGCGTTAACACCCTCATCCTCCTTAACTTTCCTTGAACGTGACCCACCGTCCACCCTTCAGTTTTACCTGAATCGAGACCAAAATTCTCTACGTGGTGTCCCTGAGACTGTCCACAGGAAGACTCGCCTCGTAATACCGGACAGATATCGCGCCGCCATCTTCGATGAGATCCACGGGCCTGAGCGCAGCCCTCAGCCAGCAGTGACGTGCCCAGATCAGCCAATCGGATATAATCCCAGTGGCAAGAGCTTTCGTTTTCCTGTAGGCTCCCTCCCGCTGTGTACGCTGGGAAATGTAGTCCGGTAGCTGTTGCTGGCGGCGCCTGGACCGCGGCGCTCTTTCCGAGCATGACGGGAGATGTAGTTGAGGGGGGCCCCGGGAACGATCTGGGTGACGCCTTCTGGTCCGGGGGCGGGCGGTCATAGCGCTAGTTGGGTGAAAGGAGGAGGAACTGGCAGCGGGGAGGAGGCTCTAGCAAGGCCTGAAAGGCTGCGTAACCAGGCAGGAGTAGGGGTTGGGGTTCGGGGTTGGGGGACAGCCAGGGATCGCGGTCTGATACGCTGTTGGGGTCGTGACCGCCTGGGGGCCGAGGCAGGCACTGGTCAGACCCAGCCAGGGATCCTTGTCTTCGTCGAGCCTAATTTCCAGCAGCCGGGTAGGCCTCACCAGAGGCTCCTTTCCGTGAGGCCGCCCCCAATTCCTGCCCCTATTCTCTGCCTGGGAGATGGCTTCCCCGAGCCCCCCGCCGGAGTCAAAGGTAAGTAAGCACCCCTCGGGGATCCCGGTTGTCTCGCCACTACCCCAGCTAGGCCGCACCACTGCTTTCTCCCCGGGCCCCCCACCCACCTCCTGACCGCCTCTTTAGGGCCAGCGCCTTGCAAGGAACTCCCCACTAGTGCGCTGGGTTGCGGTTCGCGAACAAACTGCCCACTGGCTCCCCTTTTTTTTTTTTTCTTTTTCTAGAGAGACTTGATAAATCGGCCAGAGAAAATAAATAATGCTCCAGACTAGCTCTCTCATTTGTGAGTTCTTCAGGTGAAGCACCATTTTTGACCTTCCCTTGTGTCTTCTGTTCCTGGCACAGTGCCTGGACCCCAAGGTACACGCTTAGAGAACCTCAAGGAATTGAATTGAATAGAGTCACAAGCCAGTGCAAATGGAAAATTGAAGTAGGCAGTGAGGTGAGGGAAGCTTGGAGAGGCCTTGGGGCAGTTTACTAAAATTAAACTGTTAGGGCATAATACATCAGAAAAGCCTTATCCATAGGTCCTTTCTAGTCTGAGATGTCTGTCAGTTACAGTTCGTTCCCAGAATTGGGCAACATATGAAACTTTCAGTTATCATGTTCCTCCTAGCCTGTTTGGCCCCGATAAGTGATTGCCTCTGCCACTTTTAGTGGTAGAATTGTCCTTGAGACAACAGGAACTGACTACAGAAATCATACTATTTCAGGGGTTGCTGACATTTGAGGATGTGGCTGTGTTTTTTACCCAGGAGGAGTGGGATTATCTGGACCCAGCTCAGAGAAGCCTGTATAAAGATGTCATGATGGAGAATTATGGAAACCTGGTCTCACTGGGTAAGAATCTGCTGTTTCTCTAATTAAAATATCTAAGAAAGTAGAGAGAAATCAGACTAACAGAATATTTGGACAGAAACCAGTACCAAAACTGCTTAGTTCCAAAGTTCTGATTCAAACCTTTTAGCCATTAATTGTTTCCATACCTCTCATCCCTAGCTTCCTTGAAGTGACCAAACTGCAAGCCTTTCGGGCATCCTGTCTTCGTAATCTCATTCCCATATTGTTCTGTACTTTCCGTCCTGGCTCATCCTCCCACAGCTTTCCTCCCACCCCTTTTCACTCTGCCTTCTGGAGCCCCTTTTCGTCTTCACATAATGTTCCTTACCTCCTGGCCTTAACTGAAAGCTGGCACTTTCCCAAGGACAACGTTTCTCTGGCAGTTTTTCAAGTGGGGGCCGCTTATTCTCCCACATCCGCCTCCTTCCCCATCCTTTGTGTCAGCGTTGGAAGGGGGAAGTTATTGTTCACTCAGCTTTTAAATGCTGTCCCCAAAGCATTAGTTTTCCACCTTCAAACAAAATCTCTCCCTCTTTGAGGTCTCAGCAGTCTTGCTTTTTCCACTCAATTCCTTTTCACTATCTGTCAACTTTTTGTTTGGTCCTTCACACATAACTTTGTCACATGTTTCATATCTATTTTAACTCATGCCATGGATGACCTAGTTAATACTTCAGCCTCAGTGGGTCTTACTTCAGGGACCCTGCTTTTCATTTTCACTCAGCACCTTACATCATTGATCATAGCAATTTTGTCATAACAGGCAAATCATAAATCCCAATACCCTATTCTCTGACCAGTTATTCAGCAATGGAAGTTTATTGACTAACTAGACAAGGGTAACCAAAACAGAGAGGCTTTCTCCCCTTATGGAGCATACTACAACTTCTCTTATCTTTACTACTCCTTTCCACCTAAACCCACTCGTTATTAACGATGTTTCCTGTCCCTTGATGTCTCTGTTTTTTCACCAAGGTGTCCATCCTCTCTGGACTTGTCTCCCCATCTAATGACCAGCAAGCTCACCTGCCAGCCTGTCACTATTCTCTACCCATTCTGCAAACTTCAAATCCTGTGTTTGTTATAAAATGCACCTTTCCCTCTTTCCTACCCGAATTGCTAAACATAGCAGGAGAAATTCTCTAACCAAAAAGATTGATGTCCTGTATATAAGTATGGCCTTTTTCTTCTAGTCTCCACTGGGGTTTTTATATCTTAGCAATATGTTTTGTCCTTGATATGCTCACTGCCCTGTTCTTTTTAGTGACTATTCCAAAAGCTTATCCATCATTCAGTAGTGAAGCTCACCTGTTTCTCAGAGAAAATAGGGGCCAATAAGCACGAACTCTCAACTTCTCTGCCTCTTATCTGCACACTTAAAGCTGCTCTCATCTTCTCACCTTTCCAGAAACCATTAAGTCATTCTTTGTTCCCTTATAGTTTCAGTCTCTATTTATTCTCCCTTATTCTGATGATTGGTATGTTCATAACTCTTCCAATAGGAGAAAAGAGAGGAAAAAAGAAAAAATCCCTCCTATGAGCCAGACTCTCCCTCTTGCTGCTGCCTATAATTTACTGCTTGTTCTCTTCACAGTCAGGATTTTGTAAGAGTAGTTAATGTGTGTTCTGTACTTCTTTACCTCCCCTTGTGTCTGAGCCCCTTTGTGTTGCCTCTAATACTCCCTTTAAATTGTTTAACAGTGATCTG